TCTTGATTATTGATCTGGTCCATCATAAGTACTGACAACCCATTCACAGTTCCAAGATTCTTCTATCACTAAGGCTTCATTTCATATCTTGACATGGAATAAAAAGTCCAAATACAATCAGCATGTTGGGAAAACAGCATTAGGATAATTGGGAGACAATGATCTCAACAAAACTGGACATCCTTGAGGCAAAAATGAAAACACACACACACACACACCCCATGATCAAGTTGAAATCCTTCTTGTGTCTATTTTTAATATCTACAACTAGGTTATTAAAAACCAGAACAATAGTGTTCTTTTATTAATTTCTATTACTGTTCCAATTATTCAGTTCCTTCTGTATTTTGACACAGGATTTGAATTTTATTGAAAAGCTGACACACTCATGCCCCAAAAGTAAACAATCTCAAGTTCTGACTTTAACTCATAGACTGTGGCCCCACATCATAAATCACCCCACATCTATATTTCAGTGTAGTTTTATTGCTCATATTTAATACACTGTATTATTTAATGTTCATAATCACGAGAAATATATATTATCTTCAGTCTAGAGATAAGTGAACACTTGACATTCAACAGATGTGTCCTAAGACCTTTAGGATTTCCCTAAATTTGCAAATACCACAAATGCAATAAATGCTAACTTCAATATCAAGAAATGAGTAGAGAATAAGGAAAGAAGGCTGAGAAGTAGATCTGAGTGTTTGGTTGAACTCACTCCCTGGGTTAAGTCACACATTGGTAAAGTTCAGCCTCACAGCATGTGGTCATTAAAACAGCATGTAGAATTCAAATTTCTAACATTTATAAGGTAATGAAATTTCAGATCACTCACAGACAGTGAAACTAGAATATTAAGGTTCACAGTGCCAAGAGGCAACCATATCAGGAAAGATAATTGAATACTTCAGTGATATATTGGGCTAGTCCCAAATGAAACATTGACTTACTTACTATAATCTTAAAACCTTAATTATCATAATGCAATGATCCAACAAAAAATAAAAAAGACAGTGTATGCGTAATCTGAAAGGTATAATAGATAAGAAAAGCATGGCAATGAACAGTCTTCAAATAGAAAGATTCCCATAGGCCAAATGATGGGAGCTTTTTTACCCATTCACTAGATAAAAGAGCTATGTACTTAGTACTTATTCTCTATTCCTTGATCTGCCTCAGGTCCCCAATTCCCCCGAAGTTGATAAGAAAATTAGTATGAGTTCCTATTTTACTATAAAGCAACAAGTTTCAGGCCATAAACATTTGAAAGTTTCTGATTCAAGTCAGATCACACTACTTACTAGATGATGTATACCTGCAGGGATAGTCCCAACTATATTTCCATAAAAACAGGTAACCAAAGCCAAGTCAAATTCTGTATCACGGATTTCTTATTTCCTATTGTCTTCCCTTATCATTACCATTGACTTTTACTCTCTTGGAATCTAGAATAAGATTATTCAGAGTCAATTCATCTAATTTATTTACATAAAATTCATTATATATATATTCTGATTATAAAGTTAACACATGTTCATTGGAAAAATTTTGAAAATAGATTTCAAAGAAGATAAAAGTCTCCTGTAGTCCCATCCTTTACATAATGAATATTTGTGTTTTTAAGTAAATCTTATAAGGCATTTTCCTATGTGATTATATATATATATATATATATAATTTTTTTAAAACACTGTATGCTATTTTTCACTATTATAACCTTTTCCCCTACTTTATTATGACTATTTTCCCATGCTACTAAAATTACATATACATTTTAATGGCTCTATTTTTTAAATATTTATTTTTAGTTGTACTTGGACACATTACCTTTAATTAATTAATTTATTTTTATGTGGTGCTGAGGATCAAACCCAGGGCCTCGCATGTGTTAGGTGAGTGCTCTACCACTGTGCCACAACCACAGGCCCATCTATTTCTTATTCACACAGATATACCATAATTTTAATGCATATTTTAATCTGCAATTCTAAAAATATGAACAATTCAGATCTTTAATAAACCTCACACATGGGGTTTAAGTCCATTATAATTTCTTCTGTCATGAGAAACATGTCTGCACTGAAGGTTTTCTTTTTTCTTTTTTTCCCAGTTCTGGGGATTGAACTCAGGAACACTACCACTGAACTACATCCCCAGCTCTTTTTATTTTTTGGATGTGGTCTCACTAAGTTGCTGAGACTGATCTTGAACTTGTGATCCTCTTGTCTCAGCATCCTGAGTATCTGAGATTACAGGCAGGTACCACCACACCCTGCCTGCCCTGAAGATTTTCTATGTTTATCTGAAAAAAATTTTTTGAATATATGTAGTGACAATCTCTTTCCTGAGTTAACTCCTAACTCATGCTTTAGCAGTCAGGGGATTCACATAAGCTAAATGCATTTCTCACAGATTCTCTTAGCTAAGAAACTACCTCCTTATTCTTTACTCCTAATCTCAATTGAAACATTATTTCCTTCATTCAAACAACTATATATCAAGCACTGGCTATTTACCAGGCATAGGTGAGATTTCAGAGATTCACCAGTAGGGCATGCTTGGTGTGGCTGAACAGAAATCAAGTTTGGCATGGCTGGTATAGAGTGAGAATTTTGGGGAAAATGTTTGGAAAAGTCGTCAAAGAGGCAGTCAAGAGCCAAATCATATAGCATGGGTAGGCATTATAAGAACTTTAGCTGTGAATCAGTAGGGAAAACATTGGGGATTCTAAACAGAGAAGTAACATGATCTGAATTATTCCCATTTAAGATGATCAAATTGAACATTATGAGGAATATTTTAGTCTGTTGACTAAAGGAAGGTTTGTACCAGAATGATCTAAGGGAATTGTTAAGAAGTGGTTGGGTTCTAGATCTATTTTGCTGAAAGACTCACACATTAACTACATTTAATAGGGACTATGAGAAGTCAGAGATGACCAAATTTAATGGCTTGAGCAATTAATTACTAAAATGGAGTTGTTATTTACTGAGATAGAACTATGAGTGGAAGAAAAATTTGGAGGCAAAGGTAGGAAATTGAATTCAATTTTAGTGATGTTAAGTTTGAGATACTTAGTGGATAACTGTGTAGAATGGGATGCAATTAGATATACAGTGCCAGGATTCAGTAAAAAGTTAAGGCCAGAGATAAATTCAGGAGCTACCTGAATATAGCTGTCATTTACAGTTAGGAGTTAGGTGACATCACTTAGTAGGTATAGGGAGAGAAGAAAAGAGAATTAAGGACTGGGTCCTGGGACACCTCAGCCTCAGACACTTCAATAATAGAAAAAATGAAAAACTACAGACAAGAAACTTTGAAGGGGTCTAGAGAAGTATGAGGAGAGCCAAGAAAAAGGGTTTTCTGGAAGCCAAGACGAGATTTAAGAATGAAGGAGAGTTCAACTCTGTCAAATGCCAGTGTTAGTACTGAAAAGTGACTACTGGACTTATGGAAATCATTGGTAGTTTTATCAAGAACAATGTCCATGGAATGTTGGGCAAGAAATTCCTATGGGTATGCATTTAAGAAGAAAAAATGGGAAGGAAAAGGGTAGACAGTGAATAAGAATAACTTCCATGGAGTTTTGCTACAAGAGAACAGAGATATCCAAGTTTTCCTAGATTTCCATTTGTGCTGACCATCAATCCAGTCAGATTCCTCCATTATATACTTTCATTGAATGCTATATTTTCCCTTTATAATAATTTTTTTATTTTTATGAGTTTTTTAAATTATTGACTATCTTCCTCATTCAGTGGTAAGTATTAGAGCAGAGATTGTCTTCTTCATTGCAAATTCTTAGTACCTTGAACAAGGTTTTGCATATGTTCAAACCCATTTATTGATAATCTGAATAATTATAGGACTAAATTTATATTGATTTTCATTCTTTAACGTATACTTTGATATAACTTGTACTTGATGTAAATGTCTTCTTACTTTCTTCTAACACTTCTCATATTATCAGACTAATTAAGTAAATTTTTTTAGTAGAAATGCTTTTCCAGTTGTATTCCAAATAACATAGTCAAAAGACCAAAAGATAGATACTAAATAAAAATTGAATGGGGGAAAGCAAAATGTGTCAAAATTTTTTGGAAATGAGAATGGATTAAATTTAATGATTGAAGCAATTCTAATAAATTTTCAGAATTAAAAATAATGGCAAAGTTTCCTATATGGTGCCCAGTTTCTATAATGTGCAATGATTCTCAGTTTCCATAATGTTATCAGCTCCTTTGCTCTAACCACAAGAACACTGGACAAACCATATCTTTCAAAAATCCAATTATAACTAATATATATGAGCTAACTATCAAACAAGTTTTTTATAAAAAGGACAAATTACTCTTAATGTTAATACATTAAGGAATTCCAAAAGATAAAAATTATTTTTATGCTCAGGACAAAAATTGTCTACTACTTATAATATTCCAAGTGCTATAGTTTAGATCTGGAATGACCTCCAAAGACCCATGTATTAAAATTTAGTCCACTATTGAAAGGTGGTTCAAACCTTGAAAAAGGTATAGTAGGAAGTCTTAGATCACTGGGGTCATGCCTTTTAAAGGGATGATAGGACTCTTCTTCCTCTTCTCTTTTACTTTCAACTATAAGATAAGGAATTCTGCCATGCACTCCCCAAATTGTGAGCCAAAATAAACTTTTCCTGTTTCAAAGTTGATTTATCTCAGGCTTGAAATTTAAACAATATAACAAGTATCCTGAAAACCAGAAATATGCATTTAGATGCTATAAAAATGAAAATATTATGAATATTATACCTTACAAAGGTTTAACATGAGACCTCCACTTATTACAGAAGTCACAACCATAAATACCTTTCTTCTCCTTTAAAGTTGACAAATGAAACAAAGAATTACCAGCTATTTACTTATATGATAACAGACTTTTCCCAATTAGTCACAACAAAATGGGCAGAAACATGCAAAAAATAAGCTAAGGACAGAGGGAAGCAATGAACTTACCAGAAACATGGGAACGGTGTCTCAAAGAAAACTCTTCCCAGGCCAAAGTGACACTATATATGAGAATTAACACAAGTGGATCATGAGATTTTAGCTAAGGGAAATCTTCTTCACATAATTTTCTTAGCCAAAAAATTTATTCAATCCAAAGAACAATTCATCAAGGTTACTGAGCAAAGCAAAAGAAAAAAATATTTTTTAAGTTATAAATTTATGCCATGTCTACTTCCAATAATATAAAAATGGGGAAAATAAAAGTGGAAACCAATTAGAATGGAGAGAAAGATATTCCAGATTCCTGAGTCTTAACAGTTCTAAGGCAATAGTTCCATCCAACTGGAACACAATACCTAGTTCTAATGATATATAAAGCAACTTAAGTACATGTTCTTAAAGCTATATAAGAGAAGGAAATATGATTTAAGACCAGGTCCTCAGAGAACTAAAAATGTTATTCCTGACACCATATTGAAATAGAATAATCACATATAGAAAGTATATTTGAGTTTAAACTACATATAACATTCATTTATCCACAGCATAGAAAATAACAATAATTATTAAAATATTTCAATAATTTATCCACAGCAAAGAAAATAACAATGATTAAAATATTTCAATAATTGACATGAAAGTCAAAACCATTAACCTTAAACCATTAAAATGAAATTTTTTATAGTTCTTGGCTCAAACCTAGAACTAAAAGGGACATTTGTACTGATTTTGTTCAACTTTTCGTTACTTGAGGATTTCTAACTTACCCTTCAGAACTGACCCTCCTCTCTTCTGAGGCAGACTACTAAATAGATGGACTTAGTGTCTTGAAGTTCCCTGAAATTGCTATTCTATGAATCCAGTTCAGCTTCCAGAACAAGCCTACTGTATTCTTAAGATTCCAAATGCTTATTTGTTCAATGAAGAAAATTTAGAGAATTAGAAAACAATAATGTCACAATCTAGAAACATCCAATTAAACATTGAGGTGTTTTCCTTTAGATTCTTATTCTGTTCACATATAGTACTTTTTAGAAAACATATACTTCTTTATTCTAATTTTCTATTACCTGTAGGATATTCCTATTTAGAAAAAAAAGTTATGTGAAAATCTTTCATTTAATGACTATATAATATTTTATCAAATGAATTAGTGTACAATTCTGTTTTAGTTGGCTTTTTCATTGCTGTGACTAAAGGACCCAGCCAGAACAATTTTAGAGGAGGAAAAGTTTATTTAGGGGCTCATTTTTGGAGGTCTCCATCCATAGACAGGCTCTACTCCTTGGGGCTCAAGGTAAGGCTGAACATCATGGCAGAAGAGTGTGGTGTAGGGAAGCAGCTCAAGTGGTGATCAGGAAGCAGAGAGAGACTCCACTTGCCAGATACAAATATATACTTCAAAGCCACACCCACCATGAGCCACTTCCTCCAGCCACACCCCCAACTGTCTTCAGTTACCACTCAGTGAATCCCATCAGGGATTATTAATTCACTGATTAGGTCAAGGCTGTAGCCCAATCATTTCTCCTCCAAACCTTCTTGCATTGTCTCATGTGTGAGTTTTGGGGAGACACAACTAAACCATAACAATTTCTTAATTTTTTTCTGTAATTTAGATTGTTTTGACCACTGCTGAAATGCTTTTATGTAATCTTTGCACATGTGTATATTTTTAATTAGTTAAGAGACACTGAGACAAACATAAATTTATGGATATTGAAAAATATTTCTCCAGAAAATAAACTCCCATAACATGGATATGTATGTTACATTTTATTTGCTCTTTAATCATGTTCCAAAACATTTTATTTTTTTTAAATTTGAGGTAGAATTTTTTTTTCTGTTTTAGAGAGGCCAAATATTTTTCTCCTATGTGGTCATCTGTTCATTGCTTAGTCAGGATGTAACTGAACACGGGGTGTTTGCCAATTGGTGAATGAAAAGCCAATAAGCACGACCAGGAGATAAGAGTGAAAAAAGTTTTATTACTTGCCAGTAAGAAGTGCAATGGAGATAATTCTCAAAGCAATGCCTCCTTGAATAAATAAATCAAGGGGCTTTTATTACAAAACTTATTCATATAGGAAAGACTCATCATCACATGTAGAGCAAGCTCAGGTCATGGACATACGTTGCATGAAACGTGGATGTGTAACCGATGTGATTCTGCAATCTGTATACGGGGGAAAAAATGGGAGTTCATAACCCACTTGAATCAAATGTATGAAATATGATATGTCAAGAGCTATGTAATGTTTTGAACAACTAATAATAAAAAAAATAAAAATAAATAAAAATAAAAAATGGTGGCCAGGAACAGCTCTGGGTAGAGAATTTTTATAATGAGCAAAGGTTACTCTAGGTTACCTAAATAGTGGGTCAAAAGTGACTTTATGATTTGGGCTAGTTCCTTGTAAGTTTCCCTGGAGGACCTTTTCTGAAACAAAAACAACTTCCATGGAGTGTTAACCATCATTTAAAAGGTCAAAATGTTTTTGCTGATATGTGGAAGCTAACCCACAATAAGTGGGGGTGAGGGGAAGAATTAGATATTCAGTAGGTTAGACAAAAGGGAAGGAAGGGAAGGGGGATAAGATAGAATGAATCTAAAATAATTTTCCCATGTACACATATGAATGTACATGTGAATCCCACCATCATGTACATCTGTAAGAAGGGGGTCCTAATTAGAATAAGATATATTCCATGCTTATATAATTATATCAAAGTGAATTCTACTGTAATGTTTATATATGACATGAAAAGAACCAATAAAAGAATAAAAAGAGAACAATTGAAAATATTGTGACCATCAGGTTATTTTATGTTATCTTGTTTTGTGAAAAGCTTAAAGCCAAAGGAACTTAATTATCATGCTAGTTGAAATTGGCCTCTGGGAAACTTGACTAATCCAAGCCAATAAACCTAAGATGTTCTGAGGAAAAGAACAAAAGATAAAACTTCTCTACAACAAAACTATTTCCTCTATACTAACTTTCAATACTTCACTTTTGAAAGAAGATGTGTGGGATTTTTCCTCATAAAAATTTAACTTAATTTTCCAGCACACAACTGGGTGACCTATAATTAAATTCAATTCTGACACCGTTTACTAGGGCTGCTGCTTAGCTCTTAGGCTAAATAAGGGCTGTGTCTCACAGGATTTCTTCCCATTTTAGGTGCCAGTTGGAAATCCAGGTTATCACTTGTGTTCTTACCTGACCAACTGCAAATTGGGGGATCCCATGATTTCTTCCTCAGGTTTGATAATTTACTAGAATGGATTAAGGAATTTAGGGAAACATTCTATATTTACCAAATCATTACCAAGGGTTCAATTCAGGAATGGTCAAATGGAAAAGATGAATCATGAAGATATGATGGAGAAGAGACACAGCTTCAATGTTCTCTCCTGGCCCACCACCCTCCAGGCACTACCTTCATGTGTTCATAAACCTGGAAGCTGAGACATATCCTTTGGGATTTTAATGTAAGTTTTGTTACACAGGCATGATTTTGTAAAATATGTTTTTTTTTTTTTAACCTTTTGTTTTGCTGAGGATTAAACTTAGGCATTGAACATGGTAAGGAATTGTTCTATCAGAGTCACACATCTGGACCCATAGGATAGATTATCTCATTGGTGATTAAGTTAATTTACAGCACTCCTCTCCCCAGAGGTTGCAGAGTAGAGTTCCAGCCGTCTAATCACATCGTTGGTTCCTCTGACAATAGGGACTTTCCAAAAGTCACTTCAGTGCAAACTCAGGCATGGATGAAAGAGGCTTAATAATAAAAGGCACTCCTTTTCCCTTAACTATTCTTATCTCTTAGGGAACTATGGAGATATTAGGAACTCTGGACAGGAATAAAAATATATATCACACACACATACACACACACATATACATACATAAGTATATATATATATATATATACACACACACACACACACACATGCATATATATATTCACATATGAATATACATATGAAGATATATAAATGAAGATATATATTTCTAAGATAATATTAGGGATAGGTAGAGGAAACATGAATTTCCTCTTATACCCCAGAGCCTGTAAGCCTTAGAGAAATTGAAATACAATTATGAAACTTTTGAGAAGGAAATCTTATGTGTTTTATTAAGTCTAAGAACAAGTGTTGACCAAGAATAAAATCAACCTAGTTGAGAACAAAAAAAAATTACATTTATTTGGGGCTAATTCAGATTTCACTCCAGGAAAATAAAAATTCAAGCAGTCTTGGAAATAGTCCCAAAGGTTTTACAAAATGAATTTATAACATTAAATCACAGGGGGTTGACAATTACTTGTTGGTCAGGAATTATGATTGGTGCTGGCAAAAGCCAAAGTTGTCCTGTAAGAAAGGGACTGGGTGTGGTTTCAATCTCAGTAGTTTGGGGGCAGGAGTCCATTGTACAGAAGGTCAGCGGAGGTTAACAGTCTTTTGAAAGGTCAACTCACATACTTGGGTAGGTTTATCTACAGACTAGTTCAAAGTTCAGCTGCTGACATGTCTGGAGATTTGATTAGCAATGGCCCTTCATAAGTGCCCCTAAAGAATGCTGCTCCATCTTGATTTTTTTTTCCTAGATCATATATGTAGTGCATCAACAACATAAGTTATAAGTATATAGCTAATATATTCCTCTTTCTCTCCTTTGTTCTTCCAACCTCTGTGTGCACTGTGGAGGAGAGCAACAGGCAAACAATGGTCCTAATATTCTTCTAAACAATACAATTTTAAGAACAGGAATCAGAATGGGTATTTCTAATTCCCACAAGTTTGGTTTCTTTATATTGATGAGCATGCATTCTCTCATTTTATTCTCAAAACCACTTCATGAGGCAGTGCAACAAAACTGTTCTCCGAGGCAAGACAGGTAGAAACACAGGGACACTTCATTCTTCCCACAAGAAACTCAGACCTCTTTCAAGGTAAATTTGCTCAGAAACTAAGAAAATTCAGTACTTAACATTCCCTTAAGTGGAAACACAAAGATTGTTAGTGTACAAACTTCTGGGATGGTAATGTAAATCCAAGGACTAAAAAGGACATTGCTTTAGCACCTAGCCACTGCATCAACCCTGGCAGAAGCATACCTGAGTGGACAGTGACGTTAGCATCTGGCTCCTTAGGGAGCCGAAGTTCAACAAAAGCCCATACAACTTTTCCTCTGGGCTGTTAACCTATCCTGATAAAGTGCATTGGGAATTTATAGTGCATGTGTATACATGTAAGAAAATTGAGTTTTAGTAAGCTTTGGGGGTTGTTCCCAAAGTCACTGAACTAGTAAGAGATAGAACTAAGATACAGTCCAGGATCATGAGATTCCAGAACTGTGTACTGCTGCATTCCCCCATGTTAGGAAATGTTGGTTGACCTCTCAAAAACTCTTTTTCCATTTTGTTTCTCCTATCTATCTCCCAAGTCAAGTATGACCATGTAACAGCTCTGGGTGAAAAGATTTAAATCTGAAACAGGATACTTAGATACATGTTTCCCTTCTTAATAGGGCTATTCCTTACCTCGGTCCTTTATTTCTCCAATATGAGGCTGAGAATAAAAATAACCATTATGTAATCATTAGGGAAAGGACAAAAGAATCACAGGAACTTCAGCATTAGTGGAGTTCAACTGTTGAATAGAGGTGCTTCTGGATTTCTGTTTCTTTGAAAATAAATGTTACTGTAATTATCAGCAACTACCTAATTAATAAACCCATTGAATGCTCTTTCCTATGTATCTTGTTTTCAGTGTTTTTTTTTTAAACAAATTTAATCTAAGTGTGACCCATGTTTTGTTTTAACTTAATCTGAAAAGATGTTATGTTAATCTCCATTATAAATCTAGGAAAATGATATCAGTAAGGCTATTTCAACATCACATAAGAGGACTAGTTTAGGTCACCTGTAAGCCCCATGGGAACATAAAACAATCTAGGACTGTATCATAAAATTAGTAGCATAGTTGATCATGGAAAATTAATTACCTATTTTTTTGCTTGGTACAAATTCTTCATAAACCCACAGGTGACTCTGATAAGTCAAGGGTGTTAGCTTCATCTGGAAGTTGATAATTTCAAGGAGAATGATGTGAATTAAAGGGGCTACTAAATCTCAGAGGAGCTATGGCATAGATGAAAGAAAGAAACAATTTCAAACAGAATATACTGTTATTTGTTCAGAATTTAATGCATCAGTGTTACTGACTTTCAGTGAGCCTTTTCTGTTTCTTTGTGCTTGGATGAGATAAAGGTTTTCTACTTTAAATTTGACCAACTAAACTTACTTGCTAGTACCCAATTTGTCAAAAATTAAAATTAACATTTGAAGATGAACAATTGATTCTGTGTATTATTCCAAATTCTGATTGGCAATCTATAAGAGCTTAAGGATTTATGTATGCCAGAATTTACCTACAACTCCCTAACAAAAAATGACTTAGGATCAATATTATACAGATCTTCACTTTTAATTTCTCATTTTAAAGGTATTATATTTCTTAATTCAAGGGAATTTCTTTATATTGTGGGAATTTAGGAACAATTTACTGAATACCTACTGTATTCCAGAATATTTTACACATTATTTCCATCTCCACAATGCTTTGACAGAGACTTGACTTTCCATTTTGCCTAATAAGTTGTCTCTTTTGTGGAGAAAGCACAATTTATTTACAGAAACAGTCTTTTGTTGTTGTTTTCATGTTAAAAGCAATTGATCCAGGGTTTCCTAGGAGTATGTTGTTTGAGAAGATGGAGAATAATGATTTAAGCAAATACCACTGTTGATGTTAGTCAAGTACAGTCCATATACATCTTCCATTATAATAAACATTCCTTTCTTTACCTCATAATCATCCTGTGAGAATATCTTGGGATCTGTATCCTGAGAGCTTTTTAAGATCTGTATCCTGAGAGCTTTTTAAGAATATCCTCACAAGCGACTGTGGGCTCTTGGTTTGAATTCTGGTTATTTCACTACCCTTTGAACCTAGATAAAAATGAAGTAGAAGGAATGAGAATAAAACTAGTTATTTTAAACAGGTTTGCTATATGTCTTTTCAGATCAATCAGCTTTCTTCCTTAATTGTCTTACGGGAAAAAGTAATTATCCAAAGGTTGGTTTCACTGAAAAGCCTCCTGATTTTAAACATTTAATGTATCAAAATTATCTAGAGTCTATGGAGGATTATATGAAATAAGTCAGTAATGCCTATTGATTGCCCAATTCCATCTGAAAGTCATATTCTTATTATAGCTCAAGAGAAAACTTTAATATGATATGCTTTTATTATTCATTTAACAATTTTCCCAAATGTGCAATACACTGAGGCCTAGAAAAATATATTCTCTTGTTTGCATTCATCCAGAATTAAAAGCCTCACTTGAGGGGAGGAAAAGGAGAAATTTTGGATAGGATATTTGCCAAATTATACTGTTATATTGCTTCCATGTATGAATTTGCAACAAATCCCACCATCATGTAAAACTATAAGTCACCAATTTAAAAGTATAGGGAAAAACTCTCACTAGTTAACTTCTACAGTATAATATAACAACTCTGAATTACATAGTTAACATTATTTTAAACTATTGTTTTTATAACACTATAAAGAAAACTGATACAGTGATAATAAATTGTCCAGAGCTAATCAAACAGCTAATATTTAGAACCCAAATTTCTGAATCCACAAGAAACATAGCTGCAGAAAAAGCTCTCTGTGGTATTAAAAAAAAATCACAATCATGGTCAAAAATATTAACTTGCAATCAACTATCTTAGCCATGTTTGAAAATAAATATGATTTATACTTACACATATATACTCACACACAGTATTATATGTACTTATATCTTTTGGCAGCAGGGGGTGCTAGGTGTTAAATCTAGGGCCTTGCACATGCTAGGCAAGCATGAAACTGAACACCCAAAGGAATTTATCATTCTTGATGATTTACAAATCAATCATGATTCACTGACCAGTTTCTCTTTTAGACCTGACCAAATCTCAGATGGCTTAAGTAGATTTTCCTAACAAATTCATCCCCTACAATTACTGCTAAAATGAACAAACATATCTTGGATTCTGAAAACAATATAGCTTATGCTAAAGCAACTTGTTTAAAAGGGAACAGAACGTCACCCGACGTGGTCCAGAGCACGTGAAAATTATTAAGTAAAGTCTTCCTTGATGTAGTTCACCTGTTTGTTTGTTTTTAAGTAGTCAATTCAAGGAAAGTTGGATTTTTTTTTTAGTAGTTTCTATACTTTAGGTAGAGCAATTAATTTAAATCATGAGACAGGAATGTACTCCATTCTGTGAGATGAGGAAATACAGCTGTAGAACTCAAGTGACTTCCTCAGAAGTCAGACTGGTGGAGTAGAGAGCCAGGATCTCAACCTGGGTCTATGATTCTAATACTCCCCTACACTCCATAGTCTATTATGTTACCAGGTTCCCCTTGAAGGATAATTATAAGTTATTTTATCTTTAAAATGACACAAATGTGTCATTTTTATCCCAGAAAATAACCTAATTATTAAAAAATGTCATTACAAAGATCCAAAAAGGAACAAAGTTTTTCCTACCTGAAAGTTTTCCTTTCCCTACTGTCAATCTTCTACTGGTTGCTTTACTTGGAGAAACTATGAGATGAGAGGGAAAATTATAATTCTAAAACAATTCAAAGTACTTTTTAAGATGGTATAGAAAAAACTTGGGAGTCATTTAGAATAACATGCCTCTACTATTGGGAATGATTTATCATTTCAAAACCTTTAGGTGTTATCTAAAAGTTTTGAAATGATATTCACTGATAACAGAAAAATATTCACTGATTATAGTACTTTGAGCTATATGGCATTTAATCCAGATGCTTCTTTATCCTTTTACCATGTTCATTCCCCCCTCCCTTAAACTTTCCATCTAATATATATTTTACCTTATTATGTGTCCCTCCGTATTAGAATGAGTTTCATGAGGGTAGGGATTTTTATCAATTTGGGTCACTACTAGATCCTCCAGGACCTGGTTCAATTAGGTGCTCCACAAACATTTGCAGGGAGGAAGGGAATCATATTCAAAGGCAAAAGAAGAAAACACATTAGTTAGCATATTAGGGCGAATGATGTTAAAATATCTGAGGAATGTTCACGTATTTATTTGCACCAAGGAGAGATGAATATAATTCTTGAATGTATTGGTAGCTCTCACAAGGAGAAACATAGCATTTGACAGTATAGAATACCATTCAATCAAGGAAGGAGTAATATTTTCATTAGTCTTATGGCTTTGACATCTATAATCTAAAGAGAAAGAACAATTCCAGAAGATTCTAGCTGACAATTCTACATCACAGAAATGCTTGGTTGGAAAATTACAGGGATTCCTCAAAAACCTATAACAAAGGCTAATGATTTTGAAAGGTGATAATGCTTCCCCAGGAAATATCTTTCTATATAAAGAATTGAATATATTATAGAGACAGAGCTATAAATTAGGAAGAAAATAATTCTAAGAAAGAGATAAGTACAGAATCACTCTACCACATGAGAAAACACTGCAGCAGGATGCAAGAGGCAAGTTCTTTTTAATTAAAAAGATTCTTCTGACATAAAATGGAAAAATTTCAAACCTAAAGGTGATGGGATAAATCAAAGATCCAAGACATGTGTAAATAGATTTAAATAAGTAAATTTAATAATTTTTATATCAATATAAAATTTAAAAACAAATAGCAACAATAAGGCTAAACACTTGTAACTTATTGCTGAGAGCCACAGCTGAGTCGGAATGGCCCCTGGCATTTTGCCAATAGTATTGGTTGACAGGCGAGGCATTACTATCTGCCTCAGCCGCTCCTTTGGAGTTCTCATGGGGATTCCCGGAGGAGATATTTCCGGTGGCTGGTTTCTGGATGAGCCGCGTGGGGTTCAGGATAGTTCCCGGGGAGCGTGTGTGGAGTGTGCTGGTGGAGTTCAGAAATAAAGTTTGTTCCTGTTTCAATGGCTTGTGATTTGTGCCCAGCCAGACTGTGGCAATTTATGACAAAGGAAAATTACTTCTGTATCTGAAGTTCCTGTAAAACTTTATAAACAATATTCAAATTTTAAAAATGGACAAAGAGTAATGGAAATTCATAAAAATTATAATAGCTAACCAACATTTAGAAAACTTTATCCCTATTAATTAAAAAATAAAACTGCCTTTAAATTGGTATAATGAGGTTCTATGCATGTTGAAATGAATCCCATGCACTGCTAATAACAGTGAAACTGTTCATCATTCTGAAGAGCAATTCAGCAAAAAACAATGCACAGAAAAGGAAACCTGGCAAAAAAAAAAAAAGTCATACAAAAAAAATGTTCCTAAGTCCTTAGGCACTATATTCACTTCGAGGTATACAAAAGAGATCAAGAGAAAAGTATTACTTTCACAAATTTTTCACTTTACTCAGATAAATTATTTCAGAGACAGACCAAGGCCACAGATGATGTAATCAGCATAACAAACAATGACTATGGGAAGGAATGGATGATGCTACTTTGAATTAGAAAGGATTCTTTGAAGAGTGACTATTCCTTCACTGAATAATTAGTGCTTTCTGTGTTTTAGGCATTGATCTATGAACTGAGGCTTCTGGAAGTGAAGAGACAGAAGTTCTAGCACTCATGAAGCTTGCATTCACTAGGCAAGACAGACAAACCACAACCATGAGAAACAATCATGATGTATCAGAGGACAGTAAGTGCTAAGATAAGGGGACCAATAATTATGGAGGCAGGGATGGTACCATTTACATCTGTCAAGGTAGATCTTATTAAGAAGACAGCACTCCAAGTCAAGAATTAAGAGAAGCAAAAAGTCTTCTAGTTTTCTTCGATAAATGAAAACTTATTCTATGTTCCTACATTAACCAAATTATTTTAACTGCCTTCTTACTTCTCTCCTAACTGAAAGCCAAAAAGTTTTCACAACATCCATATATACAGGAGGAGGAACGTTTGCTTTATTGAAACACAAAAATTTGTCACTACATAAAATGAAAAATGAGATCTTATTATTAGCCAATGTTTTTAATCCTTCTATTTAAAAATATTTAACATCATTTGCTTTAATGTTTTCATTCATTCATCTCTCCTACCCTTGAATCTCCTTTTTTTCTTTTAAACGTCTTTTGAACTTCTCTTCCACTATATATTCTCTTCTGGCAGGGTCCTGGTGTGTTGAAGAAGTTTGGCATCTGTATCTCTCCCCGTCCTCTTTGTAAATTCACATTTTGGAAAAAAAAAATAAGGGTATTTAGAAGAAAAAAAGTACTCCTATTTTACATGAATTAATGTAGATGTGGTATTATTCCCCAAGTCAAAACTCACTCTTGATCATAAGCTGCCTACACAGAAAAAGCTTCTTGTACAGAGTCTGAATGCCAGGAAGGATTACTTGCTATCTTTCTCTCAACTTGGTTTCATAAATAATCAGAATCAAATCTCTACATATGAGATCCAAGGAATGATAGACACACAACAGGAAACTTTATCATACTCTTTGGTGCCACTCTGAGCACCTAGGGACTTTCCAGATTTCGTCTATAATGCAGTGGATATCTTGGAGTTGAAAAAAAGGCTCTGAGCTCTTCTAGCTTCACTTCAGAAGCTGCAATTCAGAACATATGGACGTTAGGGACCAACAAAGATGAGGCAAAGAGAAACAAGGTTCTACCACAAACTTGAAAGACCCAGGCTTGCAAGAAGAAAATTAAAACTTTATTCCCATCAGTTACATGTTGACAAGAACTTGTAAAGAAAATGATCATTCCATTAAGTTTGTTCTATTTTCTTGAAATGTAATTGTAGATTTTAAATTAATTTTAACTGAATTTTTAAAAGATTTCTCAGAAAATTATTCGTATTTTGGGGGCAAGTGATTACATTCATAGAACTAGTGACTGAGGTCAAGCAAAAGAGAACTTGCTGAAATAAGGGAGGTCTCTCACTCTAGAACTTGCTAAGTCCAAGGGCACATTTAGACCTGTGAGTACCTGCTGCAGTTTTGGTGCCAATAGCGCTCTGGTTCACTGATTTTGCAATCAGCTTTTCCTCCTAATAGTCCCATTTAGGCTTCATCCTTGACTATTCCTTCTTTCCCTATGTTTATTCCTCAGACAAAATTTTCTAAGCAATTACAAAATGAAATATCCTATATATATTTATATTCTAATATGTGGATTAGTGAATACATACACTATCTCATAAGTTCTGCCCTACAGAAATTAATCTAGTAAAAGGAAGCATATTCATAAAAATACTTTTATGAACATTAAATATGATAAGTGGCCTAAGGATAATGAAGTGCTGCAAGAATTCAGGGTTCTAGCCAAGATAGGTGGCGCACGCCTGTAATTCCAGTGGCTCAGGAGGCTGAGGCAGGAGGATAGCAAGTTCAAAGCCAGCCTCTGCAACTTAGCGAGGCCCTAAGCAACTCAGTGAGACCCTATCTCTAAATAATATACAAAAAAGGGCTGGGGATGTGGCTTAGTGGTTGAGACCCTCCTGGGTTTAATCCCCAGTACTCCCCTGCAAAAAATTTAAGAATTCTAGTCCATTGCTTAGTCCTGTTATTTCTTGATAAATTATTTTTATTTGTTAAATATTAAACAGATATTTTCCAGGTCTATTTTAAGAGCAAACTAAATGATCTCTCTGTCTGTATTCTTTCTCCACCAGGCTCTCTAATTTGAACATGGCGAGTAAAACAAAATAATTAAGTTCCTTCCCTATGCAAAACAACTGAAGTAGTGCAGCTTTCACGGTGTTTCAGAATCTGGATCCAATAGGTCTGTCCAATATTTTTTTTTTCTCTCTCTCTGGACCCTCTATGACAAATCTGCCTAGAAAGGTGAGTTAGTACAAAAATCACATAGAGTCACGAGTTCCCAGCCAGTCACTGCTTTTTTATAAATAAGAATAACAATCTCAAAACCATTGCTATAATTTGCTAATTCCCTAGTATAAAAAGCAAGTGGTAGTAGTGGTTGAAGGTTAACATGGCATAATCCTAACATTTATCTCATAAAATAGTCATAGAAAACAAACAAACACCCTATCATAAAAAATTCAAAGTTCTTAGGCATGCATAAGCATTTCTGTGCATACATAGAAATATCTTTTTACATTTTTTAATATTTATTTTTTAGTTGTAGGTGGGCACACAATCTTTATTTCATTTTTATGTGGTGCTTAGTATTGAACCCAGTGCCTCACGTGTGCTAGGCAAGCACTCTACCACTGAGTCACAACCCTAGCCCCCTTCTTTACTTTAACATTCATTTTTTAATAGCCTGAATGGAACTCAAAGAATACATTGGTGTTGTGGCCAACCATCACCACAACTTAATGACCTTTATCTTGAGTCAGATCCCCCTCCCCACCTTTCTAAGTATTTTCTAGGTATTAAATGAATGATGTCAATGACTACCTAAGTTAACTCAGATCATTGAAACTGAAGATTTCAGGACTTTGGACCCATGTCTTCTCTTCATCTCAGCCTTCATTCTAGATTTACTTTTAATTCAAATCAGCGTCACTCCAAACATTCATTCTTTGACTCCTATATTGCCAGACAAATGCTCCTGGGTCACTCCTCCTCATTCCTAGACTATTTAGTGGTTATTTGCTCCAACATTACTTTTGTCATACTTCTTGGTGATTTCAATAGCTATGTAGACAATGGTTCCAGCAGTGAAGCTTCCCAATTCCTCAATTTTCCTATAATGAGCTCATTTTCCACCTGGCGTTGGCCATTCATCCCAATGGTCAGCCTCTAGAGACTTGGTCAATAGCAATAACTCCAAGCCTTCCACAAGTGTGTTCAGGCTCTTGCCCCTGTTGACCTCCCTGGAAGGCTATAACAAAGATGACAGAGAAGAACCCCACTTAGATGCAGAGGTGGATGGTGTGGATGAAGACAAGGAGGATGAAAACGAGGAAAATGAGAAGGATGAGGAGGAAGAGCTTGATGAAGATGAAAATGTAGAAGGGAAAGATAATAAAGTTGAAGTCATTGGGGAGGAAGAATTTAGGCATGAGGGAGCAGTAGATAAAGATGAAGATGAGGATGAAGAGGAAGAAAGTGAGAAAGGTGAAAAGAGAAAGAGAAACAGATGATGAAGGAGAAGATGATTAAGACCCCAGATAAACTGCAAAACCGGAACTGTTCAGTATAGATTGGACTGCATATGGATTTGATAGATGTTTTAAAAAATGGTAGCTGTGATACAAACCCCTGGACACCCACCCATCCAAAGAGCCAAAGAAGTTCCTGTGACATTCTGCCTTCTTCCTTTTAGTGCCTCTTGGTAATCCACCAAGCTTAAGGACTTTGCCCCAACAAAATTGTAAGCATTGTTACGTTTTTTTTGGGGGCAAGACTTGCTGTAGCATGGATAGCTGTGATTGACACGTCAACCATCCGTGGCTACCAGTTATACCAAAATTATAACAGCATTTTTACTTTCTGTACAACAAACATGCATTGTAAATAAAATCTTAACATTTTGGGTCAAAAAATAAGTTTTAAAAAAGTATCACTCTCTTGAACCAAACTCTTCCATCTTTTCAGCTCCCCACCCAACACTCTACCTTTGAGATTTGTAATTTATCTCTTGTTTATCCAAAACCCATCTCTCATTCATATTTCATTCTTTACCTATCTTAAATTTCAGATCTGAGGTTGTGGCTCAGTGATAGAGCATTTGCCTAGTACATGTGAGGCACTGGGTTTGATCCTCAGCGCCACATAAAAATAAATAAAGATATTGTGTCTGTCTACAACTAAAAATACTTTTTAAAAATTTCAATGATCATTTTAATCACTTCTTCACACACTTTACATTCTCATATACTTGGGGAAGCTTCATTATGATATAATATCCACCCACTCTGAGTCTATCTCTGTGTCTTCAGAGGAAAACATACATCCAGACTAACTGGGAAGTCTCTCCCTAAATTCATGATCATTCACCTTGGGGAAGGTCAGGCTGCTCAGCAACCCTACCACGCACGCCTTTCTAGCCCAAACACTATCATTTTTCTAAAGAAAAATTTCATACTTGCTGTTTTCTCTTAAAATTAAATCAAACCCTCTTACATACATCCTTCTATCATCTGCTGAGAAAATAGAAGCAATCAGAAAAGAATTTCCGCAAGCACCCATACACCAGCACACCTGCATCACTGCCTTAAATATCCTGCCTTTTATCCAACAACTCTGTATGAACTTTGCTTCTATCCAATACTACCCTTCCTTTTAAGAAGTAAGTCCCAGCCCCTTTCTTCTACTCAAGGCAGCACTCTAACAATTCTACCTTCTCTTTCTTGCATCCTCTTCAACTTTCTTCCAACTCCTACTAGTTGTCATCTTGGGAGGAGTGCATGTGGAGGTCGGGCAGAGGTGGTGAAAAAGACTATAGTGTCCCAGAACTTTCATACAAGTCTGTTACAGACTTCTAATTCTCTGATTACTCTTAACTTTTGATTAAAATAAAAAATCCTAGTAGCAAACATACACTGGCAATTGTAGGAGAATTAAGAGTATTATTATCATCATCATCATCACCATCATTATCATCTTTATTTGCAGTGCTCAGATCAAACCCAGGGCCTCACACACAGTAGGCAAGTACTCTACCACTGAGCCATATATCCAGCCCAAGAGAGATTCTGATGCCAATTTTGTTAATCTTATACACAGTGTTTACCAAGAAAGATATCTGGAAGTCTAAGGACCTTTAAACGGTAGGAGTAAATGTCTCAGAGTTTAAAATAATCCTATGCTATTCCCCCAAATTCAAGCACTTATTCACAACTACAAGATTTATCACCTGCAACCACTATAATGTGGGATGGAAAACATCCCCAAACAATGTGGCTCCTACCAACTAGAAAGAAACTACAGAGTTTGTGGCATTCCAAAGAAAAATTAGTGAATCCAGGTTTACAATGCTTTTTGCTCAATTCTTTCTGGATGTATTAATGAGATAATGTATACACATATTACCTGGCCCAGAGGCACTGTCTGTTGGAAGTGTGGATGTTGGCAATTGTTTTCTTAAGGTTTTGCTTTTATTTTTTGTTTGAAGTGAAGTAATACCTGTATTTGGGGATAATACATTAAAAATAAAGATGAAAGCCTGAGGAAAAAATGTACTCAGTCCCAAAGCAGCTACTATAAAAAGAAAATGCAAATCTAGAATTAAAGCAGCCTTAGGAAAAGTCAGTTTTACTCAATTTTGACAAAGGGGGAAGTTATTGTTATAGAATCTTGCATTTTAATATGTTTAGAAACTAAATGAAATATGATTCTTTTCTCTAATACTCATTTATACCATACTTGACAATCCTAAACCTACCCTAAAGAAGAGGCTAGAACTCCAGTGGCACAATGGGTTAGCACGCAGTACTTATATATTATAAAACAATGCCTCTTTCTTATAAGAGGGGTTGGAGGGGAAGGGAGAGGGCATAGGGTAATTAATGATGGTGAAATGTGATGATTATTACTATCCAAAGTACATGTACGAAGACACAAATTGGTGTGAATATACTATGTATACAACCAGAGATATAAAAAATTGTGCTCTTTCTATATAATAAGAATTGTAATGCATTCTAATGTCATATATAAATTAAAAATTACATAAAAATCTTACCCTTGATTTTGGATTGGATCCAGTCCAAGAAAACCCTTACCCTGGCAAATACACCTGGCTTCCATGGCTGGATGCAGCCAGCTCCCCAACTGACGATGCCATAGAGGACAAAGGGACTATTTTCATGTCTACATACTAATGGCCCACCAGAGTCTCCCTGAAATAAGAAAAAATGTTCCAGAAAACCACTTTATTCTGAAGTTCCTGCTTTCACATTTTAGAACAGGAATGACCAATGTATTTGACCAATGTATTTGTTTTTTTAAAATGACTTGCTCCTTTTCAATTTTTATGCCTTAATTGTATATTTGCATTTTTCCCATTTTAAAAGGGAACAGATAAAAATCAATGGAATATTAATATTATTCAACAATCAAGGATAAAATTATGGCATTTATTGGCAAATGGATGAAACTGGAGAATATCATACTAAGTGAAATAAGCCAATCCCTAAAAACCAAAAGCCAAATGTTTTCTGTGATATGTGGATGTTAGTTCACATAAGCATGGGTTAGGGAAGAATAGAAGTACTTGGGATTAGACAAAGGTGAATGGGAATAGGAAAGGTAGTAGAATGAATCAGGCATTACTATCTATGTGCATATATGATTACACATCAATGTAATTCTACATCATGTACAATCCAAAGAATGAGAAACTGAAAATTTTTAAAAAATCATTTGATTCCAGGGTCAAGACAAAGCCTAGTTCAAAAAGTTAGAAAACACAATTTCTAAATCTTCCCAGTCCCCTCAGCAGGGCCTTCTATAAATGACATCACCAGTTAGTAAAACCACAATATTCAAGACTTCAAGCTATATCTTTATAAAATCAAAATTTAATCAGCAAACTTTACAGTGGTTCAAACCTATCCAATGTATGTACCTTTAAGGCAATTGGATTAGGATCATTGGGTGGCAACCTACGTAAGTAGTGTTTCCCTATCACTAGTCTCTATTGATACAGTCTGTTCAGATGAATCAAAAATAATTATGATGTATGCAAATAGACTAGAAGATGTTGATGAGGTAAAGAAGAAAGTGAAAAGACTGTCTAGTACTTATTAAGGTTATTCATGAGGCTGGGGTTGTGGCTCAGTGATACAGCACTTGGCTTGTGTGAGGTACTGTGTTCAATCCTCAGCAACACATAAAAATAAAGGTATTGTGTTCATTTACAACTAAAAAAAATTAAAAATATGCATTCATACTAATTCCAGTATCATAATTTTATTTTGGTTTACCTCCAAATTCTCAATTCATGCAATTTCAGACATCCTAAGGTCTGAACTAATTAAACTTACTAGGATATCAGATGTGAAAACCTACTTACAGGAATAAGAGATCTATGCCGATTCACACACATAGGTAGTGGCGGCAATAGAATCTGAGCCCACGTCACCTGTCAGAGCCCAATGCTCCTTCTTTTCTACCATGTTGATAAATACTCATTAATGGAGATATCTTAGATAGCTCTAGTGTCTAGTTTTATAATCAAGGAGACACAAGAAAATTTAACTTTTTTTCTTATTTACTGTTACATATTGCTACTTTGGTCTTAGGATTAGAGTGAACACATCTCAAAAGAGAAATCTGCATCAAAAACTCAGATGGAAGAGTCAATCTTCCCCAAATATTTGTTTTGTTTAAATTAAATAAGCAAAAATGAAGATTTGGAAGAAACAGTGGTATTATTAATGGCACCAAGTATGTATATCACACATATTCATCTATTAATTAGCACCAACATACATGTCTTTTCTGGTTCAGTGTGACAATAGCAGTGCCCAACACAGGTACTTGTTTATGAGGACTTCTGTTTACATCATGTGCTCCAGTGAGGGTAGGCATTAAGCCTTATTCATGTATAGTGCCTGTCTCATAATAAATGTTTTCTTATGATGAAGTTCTATTAGATGCATCAAAAACAAGCCTTAAAACACAAGATTTTTATTTTAACACATTTTTTTTCATATTTTTAGTCAGTCGTTTTTCAGAAAAGGGACTGGACCAAATATATTTAGTGCCAAACTGAATCTTGCATTTAATTGAATTTGAGCTGAAGGTACATATTTGAGATCTGTTTATTTTATGTGAAAAACTTCCCAGAAGGAAACTTCCCTAAATTAGAAATAAGGAGAGCCCCTAGTTTAATGCAGAACAATTAACATTTTCTTAGGGCTTAATTTTTTTCATAAAGTAAAATTATACTTACGACATCTTTCCAGTTTCAAAATTGTCTGATGTGTCCAGTTAGGTGTTGTTTTTAATTATTCATTCTTCACCACTAACACTTTTAATTTTTCAGGCAGCTATATACATTCCATGATATAGGGAACTTACCTAATTTATCTTTCATTGATAGTATCTATCATAAGGCCTAGCACATTCCATAAACAAGTGATACTTTTTATTTTAAAATTATTCAGTGCCTACAGTGAACCAGGCATACTGAGCAAGACAGAATATGAACAAATAAGATGGCAATAGCAGTTATAAAGGAAATATTCAGAGTGAATGGTAGAGAATAAAGGTAGGTATATATGTATCCTTACATGTACATGTATGTATATGCATACATTCAGGAAGGAACAAAATTTGAAAACATGGAGGAGGTGGGCACGGTGGACCATACCTATAATTCCTGTGACTTGGGAGGCTGAGGCAACTTTGATCACAAGTTCAAAGCCAGCCTCAGCAATTTAGTGAGGCCCTTAGCAACTTAGCAAGACCCTGTCTCTAAATGTGGCTCAGTGGTTAAGCCCTTCTGAGTTCAATCTCTGATTAAAAAAGAAAGAAAGAAAGACCAGAGGAATAAATAGCATTTTATGCAGAAGATAAGTCTAGATTAAGGCCCTGAGATAACTAAGACTTGGGAATTTGGGAGGTTAGAAGATAATCAGTGTGGCTTAAACTGTTATCAAGGAAAAATATGAAACAAACTTAGAAAACAGGAGCAGGTCACATATCACTTTGTGAAGATACACATCTATTGCTTTATAGGTCAAAACAACTTGAAATAAAAATTTTGAAACCCAGTGAGCAAAGAATAGGATTCTGCATTGCATATCTGAAAGCCCCCAGTCTCTATGTTCTGACATTGTTAGTTTTACCTTCCTAAATGAGAAATTACATTAGTAGAATCATTACTTCTGAGCATACACAGGAGGGTAAAAATCAGTTTCATGATAGAAATATTAGAGTCCATTTGATCAAAGCGAGTTTCTAAAGTCACCCTTCAGTAGCCAAGTGTCTACTATAAAGATAGCTGGCTATATTTAATAGAATCTCAACTCCTATTTTTCTTCCTTCATGTTGGCAGTGAATTTGGTCATGCTGCAGACTAAGTGACAGTCGAATGAAGCTTAAATAATAGGTGCCAAATGACATGATGATATTTGGGTCACCTGTGACATGGACCACTTTAAACCTGTTTCATTTTTTTTTTTTTTTTTGCTTTCTTGACACAAAATAAACATGTCTCTTAATGTTAGATGCTGTCACATATGACAGACAATAAAGCCATTTGGGATTTCCTTGATTCAAACAGAAAAACCATTCCTAAATATCTCAAAATACCAAGGAGAAGAATGAACACAATAATTTAGAGCTCTTTTCTATCTGATTGTTTAAGGTGAACAGTAATGTGCTATAGTGGGAGTACCCTTCCCAGGTTCCTCAGATCTCCCCACACAAGTCCTGGCTTTGTGCCGTAGGCTCTTTCCCACTCTCCACCCTCAACGCTCAGGCCACCCAGAAGTATGGGAAATTATGAGGAATTAACAGCCTCTTCCAGGCAGTCCTAAAACTGTGACTTTGGGGAAGTAGTATGTAAATTCCCCAGTTTTCTCACCCCTCAGATGAGATGAATATACCACGTATGGTCTACATCACTGCACAGTTTCCCTGCAGGATAAGGCTTAGTCCCTCCCTGCGTTAGCTGGTGTAAGTGCTCATCCTTGATTGGCTGCTTCCCTTCCTTGTACCTTCTCCTCACTTTCCTCTCTGCGATGTCTACACTTCTGAAATAAACCATTACACTTGAATACTCATCTTAGGATCTGCTTCTGGGTATTGAGAATTAAGATAAGCAACACAAACAGAATTTAAGTGGTGATGAACACCATGAGAGTACCTGTTAAGTGGGGGGTTCTTCCTTTTCTCTCCATATTTTCATATGGAAGGACTTCCACCTTGATGAATGCCCAGTAGCTTCTCTCCATAGAAGCGACATTCATTTTTTTATGATTTTGACTGATTTCTGGTGGTAGTAGTGGGGAGGGTTATAAAGAAGCAGAGAAGAAGAGATTCATTTTTTCTTCCCTCTTTACCACAGACCAGTATAAGTGTTAAATCTGGAGAAATATCTGCCTGCCCTACAGACACAAACTTTCCTTCAATTGGGGCTACCCCCCAAATCCAGACTAGGGTTTAAAGGTGGGCATGCAGAGTATCAGCAACTCTTTCAAGGTGATGTATCTAAAGTCACATTTATCAGTTGACTTTATGAATATTGAAGCTGGTATTCCTCAAAGTATTCATCCATATGCTTCTTTTTTCTTAGCTGATCCTGAACTTGCCAGTGGCATGCATATATAGATCTGTATAGCTTGGTGCTTCTATAATCTCACTGAAAAGAGACTATTGCCTTGTGACTTTTCACTGAATATGAAAACCATTTTTACCATTAGGTTCATATTTTCCTCTTAGTGATTATTTTAATCTACAATTAAAAATTTAGAGGGTTGGAGGGGAAGGAGGGGGCTTGGGGTAATTAATGATGATGGAATGTGATGATCATTATTATCCAAAGTACAGGTATGAAGACACGAATTGGTGTGAATATACTATTTTTACAACCAGAGATACGAAAAATTGTGCTCTATAAATGTAATAAGAATTGTAATGCATTCTGTTGTCATATATAAAAAATTTAGTATATAGAAGATTAATAACAATAAAACTTTTAAAGTTCTAAGTAGGACATACTAATTTGAAACCTTATTCACTCATCACCCTGTTCCCCAAACCCTAAATGTATACGTTCACATTTCCCCCACTTTCAGGCCTGGTTAGTGGTCCTGCCATACCCTCCCTTCTCATGGGCTCCTATCTACCACTGGCCATTCTGGTTGTACAGCTGCTTTCTACCACTGACATTGCAGGCTGTTAGGATTAAGTAACAAATCTTCCTGCACCCCTCCTGGCCTTTGTGAAGGGATGTGGTAAGAAGTTGGATGCTTGTGCCTTCAACAGTTTTCCTCCTGCCTAAGGAGACTCCGAGTAGGTGCCAAACTTTCTGTCTTCCTGTGCAAAGTCAGAATGCTCTCACCTGGCAGAAATCTTTCCTTCCAGATACAGCAGAGCCAGCACAGATCATCCTGTCTGTGATCCCTCCTGGATGAGCAGAATAGTAAACGTGTTCGCAGACCGCTCTTTCTAACACAGGCACTTGAATCTGCTGTAAGCGACTGGCTAGGCCACCGTCTACCGAAGAAACAGATTCAGAAAGAGAGGCTTGATGATGAAGTAAGCAGAAAGTGACGCCAAAGACATATTAAGTTCAGACTTGCTCTGTATCTACATAACTGTAGCCTTTCTATTTTTCCTGAGCAGATAGAGAATATTGGGGGTGGGGAGGATACAAGTGTTTCATGCAGCATGTCTTCATTTTGCGATGTGACATCTTTGTAAAGGGGAGGCCACTGGGAGAATAACTTTTTGCCTAGCTTATTTCCAGTTTAAGTTTTATCTTATCAAATAGTGCCGCATAAGAATTCAGAGGAACTGGGGGTATAGTTCAGTGATAAAGTGTGTGCTCAGCATGTGCAGGACCCTGGGTTCAATTCCTAACACCAAAAAAAAAAGAAAACAAAAATCAAAAAGAAAAACTCAGGAAGATGTGAATTGGTACTATATATGATTTACATAAATATATTTATAAATATAACCATATTATATAAATATACACTTATAAGTATATGAACATATATGCTTATATGATTATCTAGGGGAAATCAAAATCATATTCTTTTCCTCTACTATTGCTAAAGCCCAATCTCATCTTCAATGTCAGATGGCACTAATGGTGAACTAATGAGAAGTTTCTTCTCAAACTTGGGCAAACCTATGTTAGTGTATTCTATGTGACTTATTCTAGATTTATGGCTATTTTTAAAAGTTGAGTGCTATATATCCTGTATCTTTTGAAGCGAAACAAAAATAATTTCACATTTATGTAAAACTTTATATTAAACTCCAACTCCATAATACAACAACATTGTGAGGTAGGTTAATCATACTGATCTCACACATGTAAAACCCAACCTCTGAAAATGTGATCATGTAGCTTTTACAGAACAGAATTAGGACTCAATCCTAGGTCTAACTGTAAATCTTATGTCCCTTTGAATGCACTAATACTCCTTTTCAGGAACTATCCTCTCATCAGTGTGGCTGGCCATATTTCAAAATTAAGACTTCATTCCCTCCTTTTGGATGCAAAGAATGAATTATATTTTATAAGACTGAAACAATGGCTCATTTGTCCAGTGGTCATAGAATTGATTAAAGTTTGAAATATGTTAGGTATGTTTATTTAAGGACTTTATAGCCAATCAACAGATATACACTGAAGCTTAGTAAATGCCAGGTATACTTCTAGCCCCTGAGGAGAGAGTGAGATCATTCGACAGATCTGCTTCCAGGATGTATCTCTGATATTAATGGGTGAGATGTAGAAAATGATTACAAAAAATAATGCTAAGAATGTTCAAGTGCATTGAGATGATAAAACTAGGTAGCAAGGAAGGATGGAAGAGTAGTCTTGCTGCAGCAGTGTGGCCCAAGAAGGAGAGTGACATTTCATTTGAGAATGGAATGATGAAGAGCAACTCTGCAAAGAATGCAAGAGAGTGTTCCAAGTGGAGAGAAAGAAAGTGCAGATCTTTAGAAGGCAGGACAAGTTTGGCATTTAAGAAAGAAGGCCATGGTATCAGAAGGTTAACAAACAAGGGGACAAAAGGAGGAAATGGTGTTGGAGAGTTAAGTGGAGACCAAATCAGAGATTTCCAAACTAAGCTAGTGTTTAGATTTTTTTCTAAATATAATGAGAAGCCATTCAAGGAATGATTATAAGCTGAGCCATGCTGACCTTAAGTCCTAGCTTTGATGTTTAATAGTCATGGGATCTTACAAAATTACTTAAAACATAGGGCCACAACCTCATTTGGAAAATGAGAATGATAAAATTTGCTATGATAGTTGTGAAGATTTTATGAAATGCAATTTGGCTATAGGTAACATAGTAAGCTGTGAACAAGAATACCATTAGGAATCAAAGATAACTCCTCTTACTGCAAATGACACAAATGGAATTAAAATAAAATGATCTGATATAGTAAAAGAAGCAGAAAGCAAACATCAATCTATTCAGAGCTTTCTGTGTTTACTATGGCTTTAAGAACCTTATAATCTAGCCTAAGGGTCAGCATACACAACCAAGGATAAATTCTGGGTTATATACCAACAGACCCTGGGCATATTTTATATAAATCCATGAATTAAGAATATTTTTCACATTTTTAGATGGTTGGAAAAAAATCTAAAAAATACTCTTAATCATATATGCATACTATGTTTTAAATTTCATAAATGAAGTGCTGTTGGAACATGGCCATTCCTAATGTGGCATGTATTGTCTTCAGCTGTTTAACTTTACACTGGTAGAATTGAGTAGTCCTGACAGAGACCATATGGCCTGCAGAGCCTAAAAGACTTATTATCTGGCCCTTTGCAGAGGTCTGACCCCTGATCTAATCTATTTAAATAACTCAGAAGGAAAAATTTAAGACTGCTCATTCTCTAATCACTTACTGAGCTATTACAAGTAAGTAAAACATTATTTCCTTTCAGAAGGAAGAGAGGCTAAAGCAAATACTGCTTGATATTTGCATAACATATTTTTAAAAATTACACTCTCATAAATAGTGCTGCTAGATGTTAAGTACCCACCTTCACTAGTGCTTCCCCATCCAGTCACAGTACAGATCTCAGAGGAAAACAGAGGTTCCCTGCTATGTGGGAGACATACTGGTCTCACCACTGAGTTGTATTCCAGAGGAGAGCTCAATTGTATTAGAGCAATATCATAGTCATAGGTTACTATATCAAAGTCTTCATGCACTATGATGTGTTTGGCCCTTCTCACCTGTATCAAGGGCAGGTAAGCAATTACAAGATAAGAAAATCAAAGAGTCAAGCTACTTCCTTGCATAATGGTCCCAAACAAATCTTGAATCTCTTCATGTCTATACATCAGCAATGAAAATGATTTTCAACTAAGTCCAAAAGGGTAATCTTGGTTTATAATTTATGGGAGGCAATGAACCACATTCTGAGGATTGATGATCCTGGATAAACAAAACTATGCAGACCTGTGCACAATCAATCAACCCGGATCTGTGCTTCCTGACCTGCCTCACCCAATTCTCAAATTAAAATTTCATCTCAAAATGCACCTTTAAAAACAGGTATACATTATAAGTGTAAAGGGGCATTAGAACATTCATAAATAATCATATTTTAGCTAAAGGTTTTTGATGGCACATGATATCCTTTAGAAGGTGGATGGAATGACCTTTAAAAAATAACTACCCACCTGCTCAGTTGATTCCTTTAGGGTTCTATCATGGTCCCCAGCAACAACAGTCCAAGAGCGTGGATTTCCTTTTCTGGAGAAAGAGCAAAAGTTAATGTGAAAACACACTTTTGTATTTTGGTCTAAACCCATTCAGTCCTATCAACAGGTACTGCTCATTTTAGCCAGGTAATACCCAACCCTTCCTAGGTACTCAGTATGGTCTCCCTGCCACACAAACTACTCCACTACTCCTGATCTACCTGAGGTATTGCATATCTTGTCTCCTCCTTTTTTCCATAAAACTGGAGCCCTTATTAAATATCACCAAAGACTATTTTTAGTCTTAAGGAAAAATAAAAAAATTAAAATATTTTAATTTCACAACAATATTATCAGTTCCAAGATAGGCAAAACTCCCCTATGGTGTCAGAAATCAGGGCACTGATTATTTCTAGGAGAGTAACTATAAAGAGGAGCAATAGGAGGACTGGTAGGTGGTGGTGATATTTTGATATCTTATCTGAGTGCTGGTGATATGGGCATCTACTTTGTGAAAGTTATTTTAACTGTAAACTTGAGGTTGGCACACTTTTTTGATAGATTTCAAAAAGACACACAAAAATCTTCAACAACATCCATTAATTGGCCGTATCAAGATCTCCAGCTGAAGAAATATCTGAGGAAAAAAACCCCTTAATTGCCAGAAACATATTATTGCTTGTGCTTGGAGATTAATTTTTCCATTGTTTCAAAACTGTCTTTAGGAAAAGTAAAGTTATTGAAATCAACTTTCATCACACTTTATTCAAAGGAGATATTTCTTAATATATGTAGGCATCTTTTCTCTAGTCATAACCATGCTCATTTTGATTCCCTGCATGACAAGTTTGACTCAGTCATGTATTTCAAGATGCCTTTATTAAGGGAGCCGACTCCAATAAAGTGCTTGGCAAGTAACTTGCAGATGGTAATGCCTTCATAATGGAAGCCATTATCATCGTTATTATCTATCATGCACTCTAATGGAAGGATTAAACTTTATTTTCAAAGTCACCCCTCTAAATTATTACTTGGTAGTGAAGAAACTTATTTTGCTTTTATTTCTTGTGGGTGTAGTGGGGTTTGCTGAGGATCAAATCCTGGGTCTTGCACATGCGAGGCATACACTATACCATTGAGCTACATCCCTATTCCAGAACTTAGTTCTTAAAGTTACTCCTGTAGTTTTCCATATAGGAGATAGTATTCACTTTACAGTAAAATAATTTTGAAACCATGGTACAGATGACAATGTAGACCTCATTTTCTAGTTAAATTTTATGTGCAGAGTCAAATATCCTTGAGTTTTTGTAAAGAATACCATGTAAAAAGCATGTATCATAGCAATATACACATTCTTAGGCAACAAAGCCTGAAATTTTTCCAATAATGAGATAATAAATAGCTCAAGGTATCAATTGATGAACTGCTCCATCCTCTTTTCACTTTTCTGTAATCCAGTTTCATCTCTTATGTCCTTAGGGTCTTATCCCCAACCCAACAATGGGACATGTGTCAATTGAAAAAAGAGCCATACTGAATCATAGAAAGTAAGTGGCCGAAGTTGAAAGAGTTTCTGATTTTAAAACAAGAAGATTCCAATACATAAGTGAAAAGTGAATTTAGTCCCTACAATATATTAAGAGACCCACATGGGCAAAAAAAAAAAAAAAAAACAACTCATGTGGAGTTAGCAAGATGAGAACATGAGTTTTCCCAAAGCGTGGAATAATATAATTGGTGAGATTGTTAGAAATACATATTTTCAGGCTCCACATAAGACTTAATCAGAAAATCTTCCAGGTGATTTTGGTGTATGCTCAAGTTTGAGAACTAATTTTAACAGTAGCTAATGGCTGGGAAGCTACATAGGCAATGGTTCAATGTTGCATCAGTTCTCAATGTCTTTGGGGTACTACTCAACAATGTCAGCTAGCCTGGTGCCAGGCAACTGTCAGTAAAATTGTCATCTACATCACTCTTGGATTTTGTCTCTCTCTCCAACTGCCTTCTCTCTTTTGGCAAACTTCCCTTTTCATTGGATTTGGATACTTAGATGCCCCCTTCAATGGGGAGTAGAGCCCTGGATGCAAATAAAGTTGATTAAGATGAGTTAGAGAAATCCATGAAGGAATCAGTTGACAAGTTTCCACAGAGGCAGGGTATGAGTATGACTTATCACTTCGCTATACCAGAATATTAAGACACTTTTGATGTAAAAAATCCATGTATTTCAAAGATTAGCTTTAAAAAGACATTTTCATGCTGTCTTTGGCAGCACATGTACTAAAATTGGAATGACAGAGAAGATTAGCATGGCCCCTGCACAAGGATGACACGCAAATTTGTGAAGTGTTCCATATTTTTAATTTAGTTCCTCAAGTAGACAAGACCAGAAAAGAATCTCTCCATGACACATTATAATTAAAATGCCAAAAATCCATATGAAGGAAAAAAATTTAAAAGCTATGAGAGAGAAGTGCCAGGTTAGATTCAGGGGAATACCAATCAGAATAATAGCACATTTCTCAACAGAAATCCTGAAGTTCAAGAGGGATTGGAGTGACATACTTCAATCCCTGAAAGAAAATAACTGCCAAACAAGATCCTTTGAAATTGGTGAGAAAATGAAAACCTTCCAAGATAAGCATAAACTAAAGGAATGCATAACTACTCAGTCAGCATTGCAGAGTATACGTAAAGGAATCCTACATGTAAAAGAAAATAAAAAACAACCAATAGAGTTCAGGAAAGAATAAATCCCATAAGCAAGTGATAACTAGGATCAAACATTAGAAATAGATAAAAACTTCAAGAAGTAATAAATATCTCTCTATAATTACACTAAATGTAAATGGTCTCAGTTCTCCAATTAAAAGATAGGCAGAATGGATTAAAAATAAGACCCAACTATATGTTGCCTATAAGAAACACATCTCAGAAGCAAAGATATTATATGCTAAAAGTGAAAGGATGAAAATCATATTACATACAACTGAAGCTCAAAAGCAAGCATGAGTAACACTCTTATCCAACAAACAAACTTCAAGCCAAAACTAGATGAAACAAAGAAAGTCACTACATACTGAAGAGAATTAAAAAAGATAAAATGGTATTTAATATTTATACTCCTAAATATCTGTGCATCTAACTACATGTAAAAATTCCAATACAATAATACTAGGTGATTTCAATATACTTCTCTTACCAATAGATTACTATTTTGTCTGAATCACCTAGATGACTTAACAGACATCTACAGAATGAACACACTTTTCATCTGCTCATGAAACTTTCTCCAAAAACGATCATATTTTATATCATGAAGAAAATCTTAGCAAGTATGAAAAAATTTATAATTCCTTGCATCTTATAAGATCATAATGGAATGAAATTAAAAATTAACAACAATTAAAAAAACTATGTAAACACATGGAAATGGAACAATATACTTTTGAATGAATATGTCAAAGAAATCAGGGAGAATTTAAAAATTTGCTCACCCAAGAATAGAAACACAACATACCAGAATCTCTGACACAGTGAGGCAGTTCTAAGAGGAAAATTTACAGGTATGAATGCCCACATGAAAAAAAAGTAAAAAATATCCCAAATAAATAACCTAATAATGCATCTCAAGTTGCTGAAAAATAATAAACCAATCCCAAACCAGTAAAAGAATGAATAAAGATCAAAGCTGTAATTAATGAAATAGCAAATAAAAAATAAAAAGGAACAATGAAGAGTTGGTTCTTTAAAAAGATAAACCTTTAGCCAAACTATCAATCTCCTTTATCAAAGGAAAGACCCAAATTAATAAAATTGGACATATAAAAAGGAGATATTACCACAGACATCACTGAAATACAGAGGAATAGTAGGGACTATTTTGAAAACATTCCAATAAATTGGAAAATCTAGAATCAAATTATTCCATGAAATAGAAAAGGGAACTCTTCCAAATTTACTCTATGAAGCCAATATCACTTCAATACCAAAACTAGCTAAGGATTCCTCAAGAAAAGTATTACGATAAGTGGCACAAAGTCCAAAAGAGACACATCTCTGAGTTCAAACAAAGGTTTATTGACAGAGAATATCTGCCAGGCTGCCCTTTTGCAAGGCACAGCAGGTTTCTGGAAAAACTTCTTAACTATATAGTCAAATATAATGGAGTAGTTTAACAATAACCCATCTGGTCCTGTGATTGTTACTTGATGTCTTTGCTGTGGTTTCTGTTGTTAGGGACTCTTTCTGGGTGGGCCTTACCGGAAGGTAATGCCTAGGTGGGCAGGTGCTGATTTTCAAAATGGAGTTACTTTGGCCTAGGGACCTAACAGAAAGAAAACTACAAACCTATACCCTTGATGGAACACTGATGCAAAAGTCCTTAATAACATTATCAAATTCAACTCAACAACACATTTCAGAGATTATACATCATGATCAAGCTGCTTTAATTCCAGAGTTGCAAGGATGGTTTGATGTATGCAAATAAATATCCCACATAATTAGAACCAAGAACAAAAGTCACATGATCATTTTAATGCAGAAAAATCCTTCCACAAAACTCAACATCCAATTGTGTTAAAAACACTGAAGAAACTAAGGATAGAAAGAACTTACTTTAGCATGATAAAGGCTATATATGACAAACCCAAAGCCAATATCATACTGAATGCGGAAAAACTGAAAACATTTCCTTTAAAGTCAGGAACAAAATATGGATGTCCACTCTCACTACTGCTATTCAAAATAGTGCTTGAATTTTAGCCACAGCAACTAGACAAGAGAAAGAGATAAAAAGTATACAAATAAGAGATGTGCTAGCATGGGACCCAGGCTCACACTAGGCCCCGGTCCAACCCTCCACCTGCGGACACCCATCAGGGCCCAGCCTCCAGCACAGGACCATTCCTTCTGACCAACAGACTAATGCAGGAGGTCAGGCCCAGCCCAGATCCACCCATACCGACTTATGGGACCAAAGTACAGGGTAGGTTCCAATTTGCACCCTACCCCAATCTGGGAGCCTAAGCCTAACCCACTTCCATCTTGGGACACTGCAGTCATTGCCATAGCCTTCCCCAGACAGTAGCCCCTAGCTTTTTGACAACAGACAGGGCCTAGAAGCAGCTGCATTTCAGAGCAAGCATCCCAAAGAGAATGTGAGGCCCACCCTTTCAACCCCATCTCTATAAGACATTGCATCCATCTTGGGGCACCTCAACTACTATCTCAAGTTACCTTGCCTATTGCCACACCTCCTTATTAGTAGCAGTAGCATACATTGAGGGACACCAGCATGGTCTAGAAGCCCAACATCAAGATGAAGTACAGATAATCTGCATGGGTACTACAAGAATATAGGGTGGAAACAGTAATATCTTAGACCCACACTGCGAGAAAGGAAGACACATAGACAGCATGAAAAACAAGGGAGGAAAGTGCCCCAAACAAACCAGGTTCATAATTAAAATGATCTGTGTATTAAAGAATGACCTAAATGAGCAAATACAGGCAAAAAATGATGACTCCAACAAAGAGGTAAGAGAGCAAATATAGGTAGCAAAAGATTACTTCAAGAAAGAGATAGAGTGTCTGGAAAAAAAACACTCAGAAATCCTTGAAATGAAGGATACAATAAACCAAATAAAAAACTCAATACAAAGCATAACCAACAGACTATATCATTTGGAAAAAAGAATGTCAGATAATGAAGACAAAGTTTACAATCTGGAAAATAAAGTTGATCACATAGTGAAGATAGTAAGAAACCAGGAGCAGAATATCCAAGAATTATGGCATAGCAACAAAAGACCAAATCTAGAGTTATTGGGATAAAGGAAGGCATAGCATTTCAAACTAAAGGAATACACAATCTCTTCAATGAGATATTATCAGAAAATTTCAAGCATGAAGAATAAATTGGAAAACAAATACAAGAGGCTTACAGGACAACAAATATACAAAATTACAACAGATCTACACCAAGCCACATTATAACAAAAATGCCTAGCATACAGAATAAGGATAGAATCTTAAAAGCCACAAGAGAGATGAATCAGATCACATTTGGGGTAAACCACTTCGTATCCCAGCAGATTTTTCAACCCAGACCCTCAAAGCCAAGAGAGCATCATGGAACAACATATATTAAGCTCTGAAAGAAAATGGATGCCAACCAAGAATTTTATATCCAGCAAAATTAAGCTTTAGATTTGATGATGAAATAAAAACCTTCCGTGATAAACAAAAGTTAAAAGAATATACAACTAGAAAGACTACACTACAGAACATCCTCGAAGAGGAAATGAAAATATTCTACAAAGAGGAAATGAAAAACAATAAAAATCAGCAGAGAGAGGTATTACACTAAAGGAAAATCTAATCAGAGGAGAAACCAAGTCACGATAAATATCAAAAATAAACAAAAATGGCTGGAAATACAAATCATGTCTCAATAATAAACCTGAATGTTAATGGCTTAAACTCACCAATCAAAAGACATAGGCTAGCACACTGGATTAAAAACAAAAAAAAGACCCAACAATATGCTGCCTCCAAGAGACTCATCTCATAGGAAAAGACATCCACAGGCTGAAAGTGAAGGGTTAGGAAAAATGATACCACTCACATGGACTGTGGAAGCAAGCAGGAGTTTCCATCCTCATATCAA